TGGTGCTTAAAAAAGAAATGCCAGGCCTGATACTCTCAAGTAAGTCTTCCTGGGGTTTGGGCATTTTATTAAGCTCTTCAGATGATACTGGTTTACAGGCAGGGTTGAGAACAATAGATAAAAAGACTGAGAATGGGTTTCCAAAGCTTTACAGCTTAAAAACTCTTTCCCTATAAAAATCCTTTTCCCTGTAATTCTGTGATTCTATAATCAAGGTAGTCCTCCTTGACATCACAGAAATATATCCAACAAAGAGCTGGTTACACTGGACAGTGATTTGAAAGGAACTCTGCAATGGTTTTAAAGGGCAAGAGAGATTTGATCACGGTTACTGCTTTCCACTACATAAGCCAATGTCTTTCTGTAAGTGGAGAAATTTTTAAGAATGTAGTAACCCCTCAATAAGGGAAAAACCCTGACAAGGTATGATGACAGGTTCAGCCCTAATGCTGAATCATGGAAAACAAAATCCTGGGAATCAAAAACCTACCATAGGCCAAACGGTCCAAACGCAAACCCTCGGACATGGTTTATTGTCTGATAGATCACTCATGCCCTCCTCCATACAGCTGGCCAAGAAAATCTTCACGTGCAGTAGAGAAGGGATATTCATCTGGTACGAGAGGCCGTGGGTTCAATCTCAGCCCTCTCTAACCCTGGGGCAGGTAATCAATCTCTCTGTGCCTCAGTTTTGTCACTGGTGAAATGGGTGATAATAACAGAACTTATAGGATTGTTGTAAAGATGAAGTGAGTTACTTCTTGTGAAGTGATCAGGACAGTGCCTGACATGTTTATTTAATACATGTTAGCTATCACCACTATTAGGCTTAAGACCAAGACATTAGAGGTATATGCTTTTCTCAGATCTTGAACCTGATTTCCTAAATTACATTCTACCCACAACCTCAAATCTGATAAAACTCAAGGCCAAGGAAGAGGTACAACCTCGCACTGTATGGCCCCAAAACTATGACAATAAGCATCCAGAGGAAAACTCGCAACTTCTGATCAGTATCGCTGGGTAAGAATACCAGCTTGCTCAAAGAAAAGCGGCCCAAAATGCTATCTTGACAGGGCTGCTGTTCTGTTAGGAACACGAGGTCTACAGGGTGTGGTGCACCACCAGCCCTGGGTACTCACATTCCCTCGGGATGCCAGTGCGCGTCCTCTTCTATCCGTAACAGTTCTTCACAGGTCTCTGCCCTTTCCTGTGGACAGAACACACGCGTCTTCTGAGAACCACTGGCTGTCAACAGTCAACAGCCTAAACCTGCCCCCACCCAGGTTCATGGCAGCACTATTCACCACAGCCAAGACGTGGAAACACCCCAAGTGTCCATCGATGGATGAATGAATAAGCAAAATGTGGTGTATACATATAGTGAGATATCATTTAGCCTCAAAAAGGAAGGAAATTCTGACGCATGTTACAACATCGATGAGGACATTATGCTAAATGAAGTAAGTCACAAAAAGACAAATACGGTCTGATTCCACTTACATGAGGTCCCTAGAATAATCCAATCCATAAAGACAGAACGTAGAAAAGGAGTTGCCAGAGGAACAGGGAGAGGCGTTTGGGAAGTGACTGTTTAACAAGTAAAGAGTTCCCGTTTTACAAGATGAAAGGAGTGCTGGAGATGGATGGCGGTGATGGTTACACAACAATGTCAGTGTCTTTATCATTGAATTGCACACTTAAAAAATGGCTAAGATGGTAAGTTTTATGTTATATGTATTTTGCCACAATTAAAAATGAAACAGAATGTTAAAAAAAGAAAATAAAAAGAAACCCTGGCTCAGAACCACAATACCTGTTGACTTAGAGTCAGAAAAGAGTCAGAAATGCAAAGCTTCACTTGATTCTTTTTGCCCTATTAGCACCTCCTGAGGTTGACAGATTCTTCCCCTGGGCTTGTCAGTCACATGAGAATGTGCATTCTACTGTTTGTGAGAGGAGGGGTGTGTGTGCTGTTAGGAAAAAAGGAAGTATAAAATACTTAACAGCAGAAAACGCCTCAAATTGCATCCAACAGTTCTCATGTGTACAACATCCAGATTTCCCTGAAATGCTCCCCCCTCTTATCCCAAAGAAGCACTGAGGGGGAGTATTTAGAAAGGTGTGTTCCACTGTTGGAACTTCCATGTGCTTCTTTCCACTTTGATCTCTGACACAGAGAAATGCTGCTTTAAATCAGCTGACAGCTAGAACGGAAGCCATCCCCGAATCGGGGTACATTCCCCTAGTGAGGAAGGAACAGACAAAAGGGCTGTTTTCCATGTCGAAGTTCTGACACGTCGTTAACTGACTCAGGCCCAGACGATTCTCCAGATGTGTCACAGGGGATGAGTCTTCTAGGGGGTGTCTGGCTGCACCATGTCAGCCTCTGGCTTGAAAACCACTCAGACTTTTTCTATACTGATCATGCTTTTAGTGCATAATAAAATCAACATAAAAATCACTGTGCCACTATCCAAATGATAGTGAATTTCATCAGCAAAAGTACACTACTAGAAATAACCAAGAAAACATGTTCTTATCTCTCCCAATTGGGTTTCAACTGTAGGAGCCATGAGTAGTTCCTTCTAATTTTCCGTTCCATAAAAAAAGTAGCCAATAGTATAAAACATCTATTTTTTCCAGGATACAAAATAGGGGCATACTGGGTTTCTTTTGGTAAGTTAGACTTCTAGAGTTGATATACATTATTCATGGATTCCGTATTTATGAATTCGCTTACTCACCAAAATTTATTTGTAACCCCAAGATCAGTATGCATGGTGCTTTTG